GTTTATAGGTGTATCCCTACAGCCAGCAATCAGATACAAAGACACTTTATAACTAACATTACACAACAGGCACGAGATAATACTTAAGACTTTCTAAATTAATTTCAAGAGTTTTTTTTCTGAATTAAATGCTGTTAAAGACTTTTTGAGATCTGCCATGAAAAAAAATGAAAATAAAAAGAGTGGTTGGAAAGCTATGAATAGGCCAGTGGACAGGACCATGATGACTCACGTGGGATTTCTGAATGAGTTCCTCCTTGGTGATCTCCCCCACGCAGTCCAGGTGGGGGCAGTCACAGCCGGAAGCCGGAAGCATCACTTACCCTCAGGTCTAAGAAAGAGTGAGAGACAGAGAGAGAGTTGGACGAAACACAACATTCAGTACACAACTTGCATTTTAAGTAGGCGATTTATAAAACCTTGTTTTAACCCCATATCTGATCCTTGATAGAATAATCGAAGATATATCCAAAAAACAGCACAAAGGAAAAGTAAAAAAAAAAAAAAAAAAAAAAAAAAAAAAAAAAAAAAAGTCAGGCTACTCTAACCTGAGTCACTGCCACACGACATAAGTTTTTTGTCATGCTTGCATGACCTGACAAATTCCTCTTATTCTCAGCCGCTGATACGCCGAGCGGCTCACACCACAGCTGTCAACAAACTACCGTGGACGAGCAGTGTGTGATTATAGACATATTGTTTACAAGCATAGTCTTACATTCATGGAATCACTATTATACAGGCTAACTTGAGTTGGTGGTGCACCAGCACATTGTCGTCGCCATGAATGATGTCACCGCAGATACATGGACAATTAGATGTATGAACAAGTTAGAGCAAATCTTCTGCAAACACAGCACAAATGATTCAATTCCGCTAATCACTCAACCAGTGAATCTAAAAACATGTCGACTCCAGTCGTTTTATTCCACTTCCCATGACAGCAGGATATAAAAGGATGACCTACTCCGAGACAAGCTCTGCAAATATGAGCGCGGGTCGTGTGCTCTAATCACCACCACTGACAGCAGCATTCAGATGGATGATACCTCTGAAGGAATACACGCGCCTGTAGCTGCAGAGGCAACACACCAAAGGAAGTAGCCCGTAAGTGTTTACAGATGCAACAGTATCCTGATTATGCTCGACTTTCAGAAACCCAAATAAGCCACAGTTTTGAGAAGTAAGCAAGAGGGCTACCCCAAAAGAAACAGCGACACTGCACGTTAACGCATTATCCAAGTTTGTGATCACTGCCTGGCTGGCAGCCCCTTTTAAAGCAGAAAAGATTAGTTGAAGTGTCCCACTAAGTCCACAAAAGCTCGTCTCCAGGGCAGTAACCTACACAAGTACAATACCACATAGTTTCTGGCAAGTATTTTTTTTTTTATCCACCTACTATTTATACCTTTAAAAATGCAGTTGTGTCAGCCAACTTTGAACCAAGGTCTATGTCCTGCTGGACAAGAGTTTCATCCCCCTTCTCTACAGGGATGCTCCATTTGTTGTGCTACTTAACCTGGCTGTAGCTTTAGATTGTTCAGAAGAAGCTCATTCTGATAATGTATTAGGAGTTACAACTACGCTGAGCAGCTTTGTAGCATACTGACAAAATGTGTGTCACCCTAACAATCTTTTTCAATTTGAGAGAAACCCTTCCAAACCTTGCATCAGATTACCTCGGGTACTGGAAAACTTCTAGTCATTTTTTACATTTGTTCCAATCATAAATTACGCCATAGCTTGATGATGGACTCCTGCTGTACTTCGGGAAGATCTGCAGCTAACCCGACAAGACATACAACCCCTGTACAGTAGGATGACAGGAAACCATTGGAGGCTTCGATTATCCGGCTTCTTGAGAAGGCCGCAGTTTTATCTCCACTTCAAATGGAAACAAGACCCATGCACTGTTTCGTAGAGCCCTCAGGAGGCTTTCGGGGAGCAGGGGATTTGCATGAAGAGTGACAAAGCACATGCGTTACTTAGAATCTGTCGATCAAAAGATGTGTATTTGAAGAACTGTTGCAAGTGTCTGTGTGAGCAGAAATGATCCATCTTAAGCGGCAAATTATACAAGCAGGGTTTGATTAACGTTTGGTTTTTAACACACATCTGCTGAGGGAGAAAAAGGCAGTGAATAAAATGTAAGGAAAGAAAACAGGAAATAAGTGAAATTATGATATATTGATAAAGCTATCAACCAGCAGTCACAGCAGCTGTGTACTATTTCACTCTTTATCTATACCGTCTTAAATGTGTAATAAAAAAATATCGATCATAATGAGCAAGTTTCATTAGTGTTCAGGTGCGCTGCATGTGATTCAGCACATTCAAACCACATCAACATGGTAAAAACCACATGCCCCGAGTGTCACAGATTACATCAATCTTATTCAGAGCTTAGATGCACAGCTTTGGCTTGCCGACAAACGTATACAGCAGCCGATGAGACCAATTGTAAATGCTGCTTGTTGACAGACACAAGACGTATTACTCTGCTATGCAAAGAAATGGATGCAAGCTGATCCTTAGTTAAATTCCTATTCAGTCAACACGCAGTTTGCCTCACCTAATCAAAGCTCATCAATTATGCAAACTGGTTTAAATAATGTAGAGCTTTTCTTGATTTTGAATTCATAAAACTAAATCCAAACAAACTGATAAGACACAAAGTTATCTACAGTTATATTTATGCTAGGTGGCTCCTATAATTGCCCTGAACTTCAGATATATTTATTAATTCTGTGAAATGTGCCTCCAACAGTAATAAGTCACTGTTTCAGCAAATACATACCACATAAATTGTAATTAGCCGATGGTTTCACACTCAAGCTTTCGGTTATTACGCATGGGATAGAGAATAGCATTATCCACTACAAACCATGCCCACCCTTTCATTTGCGTCATATCAAACCTAATTACACTCCTTGAACTTTGACTCTGCATACTGGGGTGGTACATTTAGGGTGGGGCGTCACCCTACACCAGACAGGGCACATGATTCCGATGTTACCAGATTCCGTGTCATCCTAGAGTCAACTGAGACGTTAAATAATAGTGCATAACACCGCAAGGCACGGAATTCGTAAAGCTAACTAGCGTTACCTCATTAGCATAAGTTAGCAGGTAACGTTAGAGCATACACAAAAGGGTGTTATTAGCCATCGTGTTGAAATCTTAACTGTTAGCGTTACCTGGCAGTAGTTTAATTAACCAGCTGAAAACTTATTTCGGCCATGTTTAAAACTAATAGCAGGTCTATGCTGTGGTGAATTAGGATATGTGGCTTTGGCCTTGTCCACTTCTCACATCGAGCTGTCAAACCAGGCGAGGCGTTGACAGCGTCACAGGCTGATTAGCAATCTTTAGCGGTTATCATTAGCCTGTTGGTCAATAATTCGTCCTCAAGGCAATATTTTACTTTTACATGCTAACCACAACACGCGCTATAGTGTCAGAAGCACGCGGTGGATATGTTTAGACACATATGATAACACGATGAGATGGTTTGCTATTGATAACCATCTCGCTAGTGACATGCTAATGCTAACGTTAGCCTCCTGTATTACATGATCCCACAGTGACTACACCGGGAGTGAGTGACAAGCTAACTAGCATCCAGAGATGATATCAGCCTCGACTCTTACCTGCAGGTTAAAAACAAAGACACGACGTTTCTCGCGTTAGACCCGGTTGTTCTTGATGTCTAACAACACGGATTCAGTGTGACTTTAAAGACTTCAGAGGGCAATCCTTCACGTTAACGATAACCGCTCCTGTCGCTCAGCGTGGTTGCTAACGTTACAGCTGACCCCGCCCCTTTTCCGGTTAAAAAAAAGCATAAGCTCTCCCCATCCTACTGTAAACATTACTTTAGATTTTTACATTTATGACTTTTAACAGCATTATATTTGTTTAGTATCACAATAAGCCCAAGATAGGAAACAATTAATTAAAATAATTGTCATCGAAAGCAATGACATGCTAGATAATGATGTGTATACAAGAGCAACGTGACTCATTTAAATGGCCTAATAGCTCCTGTAAAATGATTACTTCCTAAATTAAGGATTGGTGGGCTGGGGGAAATAAAAGTGGTAATAAACAAAATAATAAAGGCAACACACAGGAAACCCATCCCAAGCGCCACCTAGCGAGTTAGGTGTATTAGGTGCCCTCCACAAAATACATTTTTTAAAAGATTTGTTTTGTTGAAAAATAAATTATGCTCATTTTACAGTGCAGTTGCAATATGTTCGGGACATAAACATTTCCATTTGTATGTGAAAAAAAAATTTGAAAAATGAAAAGCACACAAGCGTAATGCGGTAAGAAGTCAAAATGTTGGCTTTTTATTTAAGAATTTAAATTATAAATATTGTCAAATATTTTACTTTTTTTTCACAAAATGATTGGACAGAAGGTCAAAGATATTAGGTAATGAGTTGAATTGTTGACTTTTTAAAAAATAATTATGAAAGAGTAAGTAAATTGTTTGAGATGATATGTAAGGATTGTCAAAACTTTGCCTTATAATATTTTTGACCTTAATTACTACTTGATAATCTTTACTTTAAAAGTAATCATAGATTTTGTATCTTATGATTTGACTTCAAAAGTGAACATTTTGACTGATAAGTACCAAGAGTTTATCTGTTTTCATCAATTCTAACAGCTCTCTTTTCCTAGTGGAAATTGGCCTCCATATTTATGGCAGTCAGAAATTATTTAATAGAAGTAATAAAAGGAACCAAATGTAAATCAACGCTTTTAGGAATTTATACATGAATTTAGTCACTTATGGACCTTTTGAATGTTAATTTTTATTATCTATATGTAAGCCCCAATCAGCCCCAATTATATGTACTTTACAGTAAAAACCTAACATTAATATATTTATCATGCTCTAATAATACCTATAGGGGGCGCTAAAACCCCATAAAGATTACTGGGAGAAAGGCTTTTATTTTGAAAGTCACGCTAGATCGGCTCGTGCTGCCGCTCGAGTCCTTCACTGGGCAACAGCTGAGGTCAGAGGAGCAGAGTCTGTGGAGGAGTCCTCTCAATGAACCGGTGATTTGATATTTAAACATTCACATTCACTGTCAGATAGTAACTGACCACACAGTGACGAGCTTATTTATTAGACTGTTTAATATTACGTCGGTTTAACAAAGTTAGCTGACGCTGCTAGCCGATATTAGCCTTCTTAGATAAGTTAGCATTAGCTAAATTAGCATTAGCTTCTCAGCCAGTTGAGTGCAATCATTTTCTAAACGTGTGTTAATATAATTAATCTGACTGTTTCAGAGCTAGGGTGCTGCTTGTGTTTATGTCCGCGTTGTTGTCTCTTGAAACGTGATTTTAAACTTGACAGAATATGCTGATTTATTGGAGGATGTCTGGTGTTGTGCTAATGAATGAAAGCTATATCATTTTCGATAGTTAAGTCCAGTATGAAGACAAGATAATATTTTAAGAACAGGGGCAATTTACAGGGCTTTACACAAGAAAATACAATCTACTAAAATAGTGATTCAAAATATAACACTATAACATACAAGACTAAAAGATAGTAGACATATAAAGTGATTATTTTTCCAAAATTGTATAAAGGAAATATATGTACATTTGAGAAGAGGTATAACATTCCTTTGATCTCTTACTCATGTCTCTGAATGTTGATTTGCTAGATTGCTGGTGGTTTAATGCCAACAGGATCGATCCCTCCCTGCCTCTACAGTCTTCTCATTGTTTTCTTAGTCAGTAACATATTCATATTATTTGAGACAGTCCGTCCAATGCAAACTGTTAATCAATCAGCATTTGAAGAGACAGAAAAAAACTATCATTACACAAAGAGCAATATTGAATGTTTGAGACAAAGAATCAACATTTTGCCAGGGTAAGACTCAGCCACACGAGTCTCTTGTCTCGTGCAAACTTTAATTGGATGTTGCGTGTTGTCTTGTCAGCTGGATACACAGCGGCTTAGATGATGGGATCCTATAGTGACTTTACTTACAAAGCAATACTATGTTTTGACAGAAAGATAAAGCCTCTGATTTTCTTCTGCACTCAGACGGTCACATTATTCCATGTTCGTACTGTAAGGTATGGTTTGAAATACCTTTGGTGGGTGTGCTGCTAATCCTTTAGATCAGTGGTTGACTCATACGTTTAACAGTTCTTTCATGCAAGTAATTAACAACGTTTTGACACACATAGGTGGTTTATTCGCCCTATTCTACTCATGTTAGGCAATCACTACTACTTGCAAGTACTGTTAGAGGCTTTATGTAATAACGTCATTATATCCCCTCCTGAGCCTTGAAGGTTAAATCCTTGCGTGTCGTCTCCCGTAGCTCCAGCAGAATGGTGATGAGGATAAGAGGGTTGCCAAGTCATGGATAGATCAACACAATGACACATGAGACCCTCACCAGCTCCCAGCTGTCTGTCAAGGCGGCTGCCCTGCGCATCGTCGACCTCCCGCTGTCTGTGTACAGCTCTCTGGCACAGGTGAGGGTGTGTTTGAAAGTGGTGGGAGTTTGTCAACTGCTTTTTTTTTTTATTGGGACTTCTTTCTGTTTTCTATATCTATGCCGTGAGAGGCGAGGTTGTTGAGGGTTTAATTGCACTTTGTCAGGGTCTCGTCCCTTTTTTTGTAACTGTGTTGCAAACATTGTCCCCATTTCCCAAAACTCAATTATTTTCTGACATTTCCCAAAATATGAACTGCATCAAAAGATGCACAGATGTCTCAAACATCTATTTAACTGTTTTCATTATTTTACCTTCCATATTCTAATGTTTTCATTAAGCTAGAACACTTTAATTCACTGTAATGTAAAACCAAAAGTTAAAGCCAAACCATAATATTGTGTTCTAAAATCTCAGACAGTATCTAGACTTGCATCATAAATGGCATTATTCAGTTAAATATGAATCAGAGGATGTAAACACAAGTTGCATGAGCTCCCAAATTGCTCATTCATTGGACATATATTTGGCAATAAATTGTTCGATAGTTTGGAAATCTCTCCCACCCCCTGTCGACATGTGTTCATTTGTATCCTCATGGGCGTTCTGGTAGAACACAAAATCCATACATAGGGTTCCCTCTGAGACTCTGAAGGAACTACTACTACTGCTTTGTGTTGGAAAGCTACTGGCCAGCAGCTGAGCGTGATACCATATCTGATGAGAAGGTGTAAAAGGGTTCATGTGATATCGGCTGGAGAGGAAGGACAGCCAAAGTTCAGTGTCTGGCTGTCCACGAGCTAAAATACTGACTGTGCTGTTACGGGTGAATACTTAACGTCACGTCAATATTATACTCGTCTAGTAATGTTTCTTTATGGATATTTTACCAAACCACAACCCCTAATTATTATTAATTATTCAACTAAAGTGGAAGCTAAAGTAAAGGTTTTTTTAAGGGAAATTTTCAAAATTGATAAGATTTTTAGACAAAAGATACTTATGATTGTGGATGAGGACAGACTTTGTTTTGTGAGCTTGGTGAAATTGAGAATGAGATTCACTTTTTGTTATGCTGTGTGTGTGTGTGTGTGTGTGTGTGTGTGTGTGTGTGTGTGTGTGTGT